ATGGTCTAAGCCCTTAAACCCATGACCCATTTTCATTTATTTCTTCATTCAATTGCATTTTGTACAATTTTGAAATTTTATATTTTCAAATATGGGTATTTAAAAAAAAAATAGGGATACATTTTGAAAGATAAGGTTAATGGAAAATGACAAATTGGATCCCCTAATTATAAACAAATAATTATTTTCTTTTTTTTTTTTACTTGTTAGCATATTTAGTTCTTAATTTATTAAAGTTATGGCATAATTAGATCACGAGATTATGAAAAAAAAAATTAACTATTATATCTAGGTTCATGACTTTAACCTTCTTGCCATTCTATGATTAATTTTTTATAAATTTTGTAGTATTTTTCTCCAAATATTCCACTAATCTACACTTTTTAAATTTAAAAATTAGTTGTATAAGGTTTTTAAAAAAAGCACTACAAATATATGAAAATAGCATTAAAAAGTTAATATTTTTAATATTTAACAGTCAAAATCAACATTTATATCACCATACAAACTAATTCTACTACAATAACTCAAAAATCAAATTCAGTGGACTGTAGAATTTTTCTCGGAAGACTAAAATAGTCATTTTTAAAGCGAAATAGAATTTTACAAGTATATTACTCCGTATTCCAAAGATGATCATGGGAACCCCTTCCCTGATGAGGATTCGGCTCTAGTTTACGTCAGCAACTTCTACAAGGATCTATTCACAGCGGACCCTTCCAGCCCAGCGAACATTGACTTCATCTGCAATTTCCCCAAGCTTAATGAAACTGACTGGCTATATCTCAACCAACATTTCTGCCAAGAGGAGGTAAAGAGGGTTGTTTATGACATGTCACCTCTCAAAGCTTCCAGTCCAGATGGCTATCATGCGGGCTTTTATCAACACGCTTGGTCTGTGATTGGCCAAAACCTAGTCGACTATGCCCTTGCTTTCTTTGATAGAGGTGTGTTGCCAGAAGGGGCCGATTGGCCTTTGCAATACATCTTACAAGGTTATCACGAAAGTATTAGCTACCAGACTAAGGAAGGTAATGGGCAAACTAGTGAGCCCCTCCCAGTCCAGCTTCATCCCGGGAAGGCAGACGACGGACAATATTATTACCTATTAGGAAATCCTCAGATCCATGAATACGAAACGGGGCAACACGGGCTGGTTGATGGTCAAGATCGATCTAGAAAAGGCTTTTGATAGAATCTCTTAGAACTTCATTAGATCGACGCTGCATGAAGCTGGCTTCAACCACTCCTGGATTAGAAACATCATGCATTGCGTTTCAACCTCTAGGCTGTCTGTCTCATTCAATGGTAGAAGCTCAGACTGGTTCATGCCCACCCGAGGTTTGAGACAAGGAGATCCGATCTCCCCTCTGTTGTTTGTCCTTTGTGTTGAGAGATAGAGTCACCTTATTAATGACATGTCGACTAAGGGTTCATGGGAGGGCATTAAGATCTCGAAGGAGGCCCCTAGTCTTACACACTTGCTCTTCACTGACTACATGATCCTATACGGCCAAGCCTCTATTCACCAAGCCACATGCATCAAGAATTGTCTGAACCTATTCTGTTCCCAATCTGGACAAAAGGTCAACCTTTCAAAATCCTCTCTATATTTTTCCAAGAACACACCAGTGGCGCTGCAGCATGAGATCTCAAACCTTCTTGACATCCCAGTAACACTCGATCTAGGCAAGTACCTTGGAGTTCTATCTTGGCATGGTGGTCTCAGAAAGGAAACCTACAATGATCTCATAGGAAAGGTGAAGAGCAGACTAGCTGGCTGGAAAATGAAAACTCTCTCCCTTGCAGGCATAAAGGTCCTCATTCAATCGGTCTTAACCGCCATTCCTCAGTATACTATGCAATCCACACTACTGCCACTAGGTGTTGTAAACTAGCTGGAAAAACTGTTTCGAGCCTTCCTCTGGGATGGCTCAGACAATGCCAGGAAATGCAACCTTGTGTCCTGGGACCTGGTTACGCAGATTAAAGACCATGGTGGCCTGGGAATTCGCAGACTCAAGGAAACAAATACCGCACACCTCGCTAAACTAGGCTGGAGGATCTTAACAGGGGAAGACTGTCTATGGGCCAATATCCTAAGGGCGAAGTACAACATCCACCCTTCTGATCCTAAGCTATGGAATTCTAAGCCCAACATGTCAAACGTATGGAAGGGATTATCAAGGCAATACCAACTATAGTCAGAGGCTCTAAGATATTAATCAGAAACGGCAGGAACACCAAGTTTTGGATGGATGCATGGCTTGGCCATCGGCCCCTATATGATCTTGCTTCTCCCCGCTTACCACTACCGGAACTCTATGCCCCTGTTGCGGATTACTGGCTACCAGGCATTGGTTGGGATCGGGACAAGATTGGTAATACTCTGCCGTCAAGCATCATCAAGCGCCTATCTACTATTATCTTGTGTGAAGATGACTACGAGAGTGATACCATCGGCTGGGGGGATGATGGCTCTTCCAACTTCTCAACTAAAATTGCCTATGATCTATGTACAGACTTCGTTTCTCCTACCCCCACTCAAGCATGGAGCAACATCTGGAAACTCAAGATTCCCAGCAAAATACAAACCTTTCTCTGGTTAGCCAGGCATGATCGCATTATGTCAAATGTCAACAAGAAGAAACGCGGCCTCACGAACTGTTCTGTTTGCCCAGCCTGCGGCAGTAATGAGGAATCAACTGAACACATCCTTCGTCTTTGCCCTGAAGCTAAAATGGTATGGCTCTCTGTCTTACCAGGCCATAACGATGACCAGACGAGGCCTTTTGAAGAATGGTTTAACGCTGGTATTCGAGGTATACTGCCTGGCAATCAACTACATATCTCCCGTGTCCTGTTTGCCATCACGGCATGGAAACTGTGGCTGTGGAGGAACGATAGAACCTTCAACAACTCAACTACCGATATAAGACAAAAGAACTTCCTTATACAGACACAAATCACGGAAGTTGGCAGAGCTTTCGGGAATGACAAGGGCATCCATTTTGGCTCTGCCTCGCACTCGTGGAAACTCCTTCGTGGGAATAAGCCGCCAGCAGGTTGAATCAAAATCAATGTAGATGGATGTTGCGATACTATCTCGTCCAAAGCTTCCTGAGGCGGAGTAGCTAGAGATGACCAAGGCAATTGGATCAAGGGCTTCTCATACTCCATTGGCTTATGTTCCACCCGATGTGGCCGAAGCATGGGCTTTACTCAAGGGAATCCAGTTCGCTAAGTTGCTTGGAAGTTCGCATACCTGCTTTGAGAGTGATTCAAAACGCATTGTGGAGGCTGTCAACTGTAGCTCTGAGGTTAGCGCCATTGCAAGCAACATCCTCCATGCATGCAAAAAGGAGCTGGAATCCTTGGGTTCTTGGCACCTGGCCCTTATTTCGAGGGACCAAAACCAATTGGCCGACAGTGTCTTTAAGCTTCATGATGGACAGCAACGAACGTCAATTTTTGATACCCCTCCTGTTGACCTTATTAGTAGGCTAGATGACGACCAATATGGTATCCCCATTTGGCGCCTTGCTACCGCTTAAACCTCTATTATTGGGTTACCCCTACCTTTTTGATCTAAAAAAATATATATATTACTCCGTATTTGATTTAAAAAAAAAAAAAAAAAAAAAAAAAAAAAAAAAAAAAAAAAAAACTCAAACAGTGTTGCGGCGGGAGAAAAGAAAAGAGAAGAAAAGCACAAATAAAAACTAAAAAAGTAGTCGAGTCGATTATAGACACGTAAACAACGTAACGTCACACCGAACGGGCCCACATAGAAAAGCATGAGATAATATCTCTCGGTTTGAAACGTGGCGCGATAGCGCTCATCTGGGCCCCACAAAATTTTCACCCGAAAGCATTAAAGATCATCATCATCTCACCGCAAGAAAAAGGCAGACGTCAAAGATCAAGAAAACAAGAAACATGGTACTCCCCCCCTTGCCTACCCGCCACCTGCTCGGACACCTGTCCCCCTCCCGGGACCCACCTTAGCATATTTTCTTGACACATCAACACATTCACACCCCCTTTCGCCTCTGCTTTCTATCTCTCTCTCCCTCCCTCCCTGTGTTTTTGGGTTGTGTTTTTTCTTTCTTTCTTTCTTTTTTTTTTTTTTTTAATTTGTTGTTTGGCTTGGGATTCATTGATTAGTAAACTAGGTTGTTTGTTGGAGGTGTACTTTCTTGGGTTCCACTAATGCACCATTTCAAAACGGTAAGCAACTTCATTAAGTCACCATTTTTTTCCTTGTATGATTTGGGTTAGTTTCTCCACAGCTTTTCACCACTAATTAATGGGTTTAATGCATTCCTGAGGTTTTCTTTTCTTTCTTTCTTTATTTGTTTGTTTATGCAATTTGATTATTGATTATACTGTAGGTCCTACTGAACAATATACATGAGTGTTGATCAAAGATTGGGTCTTTTTGTTATAGAGAGAAAAAGGGCTCTCTTTATATTCATTTGGAGTACTTGGGCTGTTTTTGGTTTATGAGATTGTGTGTGTGTGTGTGTTAATCTTGAACTTGGCATTTTTTGGGTCAGTTGTTTGATATCTGAGATTTGTGATTCAGAGTTCTCTTGGATAAAGTTATATGCTTTGTGTATCAGAGAAGCAGTGGCCACTGCATATTGACTTGGTTTTGGTTCTTTAATTAATTGGAGTAAAAGAGATTCTGGATTGGGACTTTTTTGGTGGGTTTTGGATAGGAGCTAGTGAGAATATAAGTGGGAATAGAAGCTCAGAAGATGCTGAATGCTGTTCTGTGTAATAATTTTGGCATATGTTTGATTCCCATTGAAATCGAGTTTAGATCCGAATTCCCAATGTATTGGATACATAGTTGAGCTAAGCCTCTCGTCACTTACGTATTCGATTGTTGAATTCCCTTGATTACAAGGACAGTGGCATCTTAAGGATTCTTGGACACTTAACTTTTGAAAGAACCCCCCAATCTATGTTGACTTCGGGTTGTATAATTACGAGGCTTGACATACGCAACTATATATCAGGTGGGAGGTATAAAGTTTAGCCAAGGAGAAGATTGAATGGAGGAGGGATCTCCAACAATTGCTGTGCATTACAAGCCCGGAAATCGTGTGATATATGATGAATCAGGGCTGCCTTCCCGTACGAATATTAGTGGACTCGAGCTCGTGGCATACACAACCAAGTTGTCTTTGGTGTCGATTGGTAATGGTAGTATGATGTGCGACAATCGTAGAGTTCCAAGAGATAGGTTCGATGATACACGAGGTTATGACAATGATGAAATTCGAGGAGGAGGAGAAATGTTGTTATCAAAGGTGCGTGGAAATGGAATATGTCTGGTTATTAGTGACGCTAAAATAGGTCAAAACTCTAGAGACAATGGTTTGATGTCACCGACTAGTGGCAAGTTAGCGGGCAGTATTTCTTCTTGCTCTGAAAGAAATGGAAGTAGCTTCGTGTCTGAGAAGGAATGTGAAGGAGCCATAGAGGCCAATTCTGGGGCCACTTCACCTAATAACGGTGCAGTTCTTAGCATAAACAAGTCCTATTCGGTGAATGGTGGGAAGCAATGTATTGGTTTTGATTCCACACCTCCTCTCTGGGGACTTGTATCAATCCGTGGGAAGAGGATGGAAATGGAAGATTCTGCTGTAGCTCTACCAAGGTTTTCGGGAATCCCTTCTCGAATGCAAATCCATGTCCCCGACACTAATGCAATGGCTCGAAATCCCCTAGCACACTTTTATGGGGTTTTTGATGGGCACGGAGGCTGTCAGGTACATCTATCCGAACATCTAATTACTAGTGTTAATCAAGAGTTTATCACTACGCCAAAAGCTATAGCTCATACCAAAGACACAACTTTATTTCCTTATATATCACCACATTTTCGAGAGGCAGGGTGCCACTGGCCTCCGCCCAATAATCCCCTAGCCACCAATTGCTGGACTTGACCCTTCATGGGCTTCTGCCCAACAATCCCCCTAGCCACCAATTGCTGGAGTTGACCCTTCATGGGCCTCTGCCCAACAATCCCCCTAGCCACCAATTGCTGGACTTGACCCTTCATGGCACAACTATATTGCAGGTTGCTAATTATTGCCGTGAACGGTTCCATCTAGCGTTAACCGAGGAGCTGCACACTCGGGAGGAGGATTTGCACATTGAAAGCAATGGCAGTAATTGGAAGGAACAATGGGAAAAGGCTTTGTTCAGTTGCTTCCGAAAAGTTGACGATGAGGTTGGAGGGATATCCCGAAGTGACAATGGTTTCGAGTCTGGTGTTGTTGATCCTATTGCTCCCGAAGCAGTTGGATCTACGGCTGTAGTTTCAATTGTTTGTCCCACGCATATAATCGTTGCCAACTGCGGTGATTCAAGGGCTGTCCTCTGCCGGGGAAAATCACCCGTGCCACTGTCCATTGATCACAAAGTAACATCATTGCCTAGAGTAATTGTTCTTCTTTTAAATGTGTTTTGTTTTCTGGGGCATTTCCTGATATCTTAATATTTTCTTTTGCAGCCAAATAGAGAAGATGAGTATTCAAGAATAGAAGCTTTAGGAGGCAAAGTCATTAATTGGGATGGGCATCGCGTATCAGGTGTCCTTGCAGTTTCAAGATCCATTGGTATGTTCCACTCTCTGAGTCTCAACTTTATTAGCTTCAAAAAGTCATCATCTTGTAGCTCGATATCTAAAAAGTTCCGCTGTCAAATCAAAAGCTCATCCGGACCGGATGTCTGCACGAGGAATGAGATTTATACTTTGTTGATATAACGATTGTTAAGAGTCCCACATTGAAAATATAAGAGAGAACTTATGAGTTTATAAGGTCATGGGTTAGAATAATTAATTTATTGGATTCAATGTTATAGTGTGTTTGACTCCTGTGCATTATAGCCACTTTTGCAAAAATCTTCGGCCGAGTTAACCCGGTCAGCTCGGCCACGTGCATTATTTTTTTTTTTTAGTTTGCCGCATAGGCGCCCGCCTAGGCTGTCTAGGCACTAAGCGCTACTCTACCGCCCGACTAGCGCCTAGCGCCTACTGCAACCATGAGATTTTTTCCATTATATATATATACACCCACACGTGCATTATTTTTTTTTTTAGTTTGCCGCATGGGCGGGCGGCCCGCCTAAGCCGTCTAGGCGCTAAGCGCTACTCTACCGTCCGACTAACGCCTAGCGCCTACTGCAACCATGATTATAGCCCACTTCTTATATAATAACATGGTATCAGAGCCTGAATCCAATCTTAGAATATAACAACCATAATTCATGAAACCAATGATTTGGTTGCTTGGTATATACAATGTTTGTTTTGTGTTTTATCATCTTGAATTGTGTGCAGGTGACAGATATTTGAGGCCATATGTAATCCCGGAACCAGAAATGACATTCACCCCTCGGGCGAAAGAAGACGAGTGCCTTATTTTAGCGAGTGACGGTCTCTGGGATGTGATGGGCAATGAGGAAGTGTGTGATGTGGCAAGGAGAAGAATCCTCCTCTGGCACAAAAAGAATGGCGGCACCCCGTCTAAAGAAAGAGGCGACGCCGCCCCGTCTAAAGAAAGAGGCGACGCCGCCGCCAGTGATCCTGCCGCTCAAGATGCAGCACAGTACCTGACGAGAATCGCGCTCCAGAGGGGAAGCCAAGACAATATCTCTGTTATTGTGGTGGACTTGAAAGCACAGAGGAAGTTCAAGAAGAAAGTGTAATGTTGAACAGTCTCTCAATCAGCTCTCATATATTGCTGGGAATATTTGCAGAATCCAGCCCCCTTGTTTATGCAGGCCAAGGTTGCAGAATTTGTAGTATGATATTAAAGTGTTTTGACAATAAACATTTTTAGGGAAATGTTTGGTCAAAACCTTAAACATGCTTTTGCAAGAAATCCTTGTGCTCTGAGATACTCAGCCTTCTATTCTTTATTATATTAATATATGGATATGACATTTTGCTTTGCTATATGTCCACTGCTGTAACAGTTTAACTCATCAATATAGACTGCATATTTTATAGAGAAGCCAATGGGGCATCTTTCTCAATTGAAGTCTGGGGTTTTTTTTTTTTTAATTAAAATTAGGCATAGACAAAATATGCAGATTTTGAATTGTCAAGAAAAAAACAAAAGTTTAGAAACTCCAATTAAGTCAGAAAATTTGTATATGTAATATAATCTAGAGAACGCTATGTGAACCATAATTACAAACTATATTTTTAATATATTAAACGTATATTATTTGTGTACTAAATGTACATTATTTGATAATATATAAAGTAATGTATTTTTATTATTTAAATAATGTACTTAACATACACAAATATTGTGTTTTTAGTAAATTGAAAATGTACTTTTAATTTGTTGTATTGTGTGGACCATAAATATAAAATATAATTTTAATATACTAAAATTACATTATTTGTGTACTAAATGTACATTATTTGATAATATATAAAATAATGTACTTTAGTATTTTAAAAATGTACCGTTTTTATGGTCTATAGGATAATGATTGAATAGTCTTTGGAGTGAAAAGGGGGCAAATTATACTCTTAACGATGGTCTACATTGTAATATGAATCACTAATAAGTTTTCATTTTTAATATACTAGTATTTTCACCCGTGCGATGCACGGAATGGAATTGTTGTAATATATTAAGAATATTTAAATCGATATATAATTATTTAAGAGTTAATTTCACCAGAGGTCGTTTATCTTTCCTGACAATTCCAAATTTAATCCTAGACTATAGTTATTAATTATTACAATTTATTCTATGTTACAACTCTTACGTTAATATTCTTACTATTATTATTAACACTTAATTACTTTTAGATATTATTATTACCACTTATATTATATTATTATTATTATTATTATTATTATTATTATTATTATTATTATTATTATTATTATTATTATTAGTTTCTTTTCAAGTATTGTTAGTATGTAATGGTCGTGAGGCACAATAATAATATAACCATAATTAAATATTCTTGTATTGTATTCCGGAGTTAATGCCATTTTTTGTCCTAGACTTATTGAGACATTGACACTTTTCATCCTCCATAATAAAAATTGTCACTTAATTAGTAGACACTGTTATCGGTCATTGGACAGTTTTGATCCTCCGTCAATGAAGCCGTTTGTTGACCGTGAATTAGAAGGGCTTTTCTGTCTTTTTATGTCTTATTCTTCTAATCTTGTTTAGACCCGCGCTGCTGTGACTCCTGTGAGGCGAGATGGCAAGACTTGGCGGCTAAGTAGTAACCGTCGGTAGTGAGTAACAGCGAGGTTCTTCTCCAGCGAGTTGTGGGTACGGCGGCGAGCATACGAGGCAGTAACTCCTTCCGGCGACGGACCAGTAAGGCAGATCTGGCGGTGCAGCAACATATTCGGCGAGGTTGGGGCCTTCACCGGTGGTTTTTTGTTCCGGCGAAGCAGAGAGGGCAGCAGGTCGGCGAACCCTCCTATGGTAAATAGCAGTTGTAGTTGTAGATGGCGTGATGTAGAATTTGCACCTGTAAGTCCTCCCTTCCATATTGACCACAAATATCCTTCCCATCTCTCTCTCTCTCTCTCTCTGACCACAACTACTTGGTGCACAACCTCAAAAACTCTGTTATTCTACCTGAAATTCATTGAAGTTTCAACCTGAAAATGTGGAATCCGCCGCTCCCCAAAAATCGCATTGTCTGAGGTGTTGGAATGGCCGGTGTTGACTTCCTGGCTGCTGTAGCTTCATTCCCCAACCCGGATGATAAAATTCGGAGCACCAGCTTTGAGGTTCAAGGAGTTGGTAACACTGGCAATGCTTTGATAAAATCCGGATGATAAAATTCGTCTTGGTCTTAATCCAAGGATCATATCTAAGGTTGCTGATGACTCGCATGGCGAAAGAATACTTGATGAGCTTGAAAGGGATGGTGTTGATACATCTTTTATGGTGGTGTCCAAAGGAGGAAACTCACCATTCACATATGTCATTGTTGACAACCAAAAAAAAAAAACTCGCACGTGCATTTTCACTCCAGGATATCCACCCATGATATCTGAGGGTCTACATACCCAAATCAAAATTGTCTTCAGCGCTTGGAGTAAATATTGTCTACTTAGATGGAAGGCTGCATGAGACTGCTTCGATTGTAGTGCAGGAGGCAAAGAGTAGGGGCATACCTATTATAGTTGATGCAGAAAGGTTAAGGGAGGGGTTGGGTGATACTCCTGACTTTGCTAGTTATGTTGTACGCTCGACAAAATTTGCACAAGCATGGATTAACGTCCTTTCTATTCCAACTGCACTTGTTTCCATTATCTTGAGATTGATGTCAAATGTAAAATTCGTGATTGTTAGTTGGGTGAAGATGGTTTCTTAATGTTAGAAAGGACTGAAGCGGATAACCTCAATTTGAAGAAATAGATGTAGCAATGACTAATGGATGGAGAAATACAAGGATTAGAACATAAAAAGACAGAAAACCCTTCTAATTCACGGTTAACAAACGGCGCCATTGACGGAGGATCAAAACTGTCCAACGATCAATAACAGTGGCTACTAAGTGGCAATTTTTATTATGGAGGATTAAAAGTGTCAATGCCCCAATAAGTCTAGGACCAAAAATGGCATTAACTCTTGTATTCCGTGAGTCACAATAATAATATAACAATAATTAATATTGTTCAATTCTATATTCTTCTAGGATTTCTATTACCATCATTAATTATTCCCAAATTTACCATAATTAAATAATTTGACCAATTACAAAGAAAGATTATTAAATAATGCACGGGACAATTGTTTAATTAAAAATTTTAAAAATTCATTAATAAAACATAAGGTTCTCATAGTTTTTTCTTAGAAACTCTTTAATAAAGTATTTTTTTTTTTTAGAAATTGGTGGGCCAAACCGCCTACGGCTGTTTGCGGTGGATAGATCTTGAAAAAATACGCGATTTCAAAAAAACATTTGTCCAAAACGGACAACGGAGTCAAAAGTTATGTCTTGCCGAACTTTTGACACTTTACAACTTTAAAAAAAAACAAAAAAAAAAACAAAAAAAAAAAACAAAAATTAAAGGCCGGTTCATCCGGCGAGGCGGCCGCTGAGGAGGCCTATTCCGGCCTTCCTCGCCGCGGACAGCGACACGATTTTTGCAACACTGATATATAAAATAGATATAGATTATAATAGGAATAGTATTACACAATTTTATAATATTACAATAAAATTTTAACCCAGAATTATTGTAGAAATCAAAATATTTTATTAGGAAGAGAGATTTTTTAGGAACAGGGCGGAAAGTTAAAATTTCAGGATTTTGTTTTTATATATAGTATAGATTGTATTACACTATTTTATAATATTAGAATAGAATTTTAACGCAAAATTATTATACGAATGGGAAAGTAGAAATCAATATATTTTATTAGGAAGAGAGATTTTTTAGGAATTGGGCGGGAAGTTAAAATTTCAGGATTTTGTTTTTATATATAGTATAGATGGAATTGGGCGTGAAGTTAAAATTTCAGGATTTTGTTTTTATATATAGTATAAATTGTATTACACTATTTTATAATATTAGAATAGAATTTTAACGCAGAATTATTGTACGAATGGGAAAGTAGAAATCAATATATTTTATTAGGAAGAGAGATTTTTTAGGAATTGGGTTGGAAGTTAAAATTTCAGGATTTTGTTTTTATATATAGTATAGTATAGATAGTATTACACTATTTTACAATATTAGAATAAAATTTTAACGCAGAATTATTGTACGAATGAGAAAGTAGAAATCAATATATTTTAATAGGAAGAGAGATTTTTTAGGAATTGGGCGGGAAGTTAAAATTTCAGGATTTTGTTTTTATATATAGTATATATAGATTAAATGTTTATTATTGATGTATTGAAAGTTTATTTTTAAATAATATATTAAATAATGAAGCTCTAGTACACTAAAAATAAATTTTCAAAAAATAAGCATTCAATATATACTAAAATTGAACATTCAAAATACTAAAAACGATCTTTATATCAATTCACAGTATAATGATTGGGAGTGGGGCCAAAGATAAGTCCCATTTTATTTGTCTAATTTAATTAACAAAATTTGACTGAAGTTATTTTTAATTTAATTTTTCATAATATTAAGTTTAGTACTAACATATAAAATTTATATATTTAAAAATTACATTAAAATACTATTAAACACAATAATAATAATAATAATAATAATAATAATAATAATAATAATAATAATAATAATAATTACTAAAAAAATAAATAATAATAAAAAATTAATTTGACCAATAAATAATGCAAAAGGAACCCACAAAGGGAGTATAAATGTATAATGGACTACAATATAATGATTGGGAGTGGGGAGGGTTAAAATATATGGACTTCAATCCACCATACATTGTGAACCCTGCAGCAAATGTTCATCAATCATCACAGTGAATATAGTTCATCTACTGCTCACATGGAACTGAGAGCTTAAGACCACAATTGAAATAAAAGCAACTAATTGCACTTGCAAATAAGTAGACAGCTTGCCTTTAACAGGCAGTTAGAACTTAGAACATAAATTACAAATAAACATACAGGGGACCGAAAAAAAAAAAAAAAAAAAAATTATTCCAAATGGGTGTCTACATAGTACATACATCTGTCTAGCACGAGTCAACACAATTACTTCCCATTGTTCTCTTCTAAATTCATCTCACTCGATGTTCATGCAACAAAGATATTCACCAAATTAAAACCTCTTTATTTATGCATCCAGTTGTAGATGATGAGTTACTATTGGAGGCACGAAATGCTCAGTGGCGGCCGGGAGACACTTCACGAGCTTCTGTATAGGCTTGGCGGTTCAAACAAATATTGAAGACAAGCATCGCTTTATGAGTACTTCGAGATTCAAGTAAAAGATGGGAAGATACCTATATATGACACAAGATACTAGAAAGTATGAGCTATACATGCAGTGCGATCCTGTATAGCTAAAACAGCAGAGCCAAATTTGTGACGCTCAGGTTATCTAAGATGCAGAGTGAAGTTCTATGTTGATCGTGATGATACGGAAAACTAGTATTTTTGAGATTCCCACATTGAAAATATAAGAGAGAAAATGAGTTTATAAGGTCATCAATTAGAGTAGCTAATTGATTGGATTTAGTTTTTTTTAGTGGTTTGGTCCATGAGCATTATTGCCCAATCTTAGATTATAAGGAGATTTAGATTTTTTATTTTTTTTTAGCGTTACTGACTCTGTTACAATGCAGTATGTGTTCATAACTACTTTCTCAACCTACTAAAGCACAAAGAGTCAATACCGCCTCTACTGAAGTAACAATGCAGTATCTGTTCATAACTACTTTCTCAACCTACTAAAGCACAAAGAGTCAATACCGCCTCCACTGAGGCTCGAACCCACAACCTCCCATATGGGAATCCAACTTGGTGCCACTAGATTATAAGGAGATAACATACCAATTATATATAGATCAAAATGCTGCAAGTCGAGGTCCTACAGCTGTAAAGTAAGCTGCAAGATCGATATCCAGATTGTCGTACATAGTGATGAAAGGGTGTCTCTGCATGCATATCACAGTCAATCGTTATATGTTACAACAATTAATGAGTGAAAACAGGTTTTGAGAGTGAAGGTAAAGTACTATCAATACCATTAATTCATTCGCTGACAGTCTCTTCTTCGGGTCCTTCTGCACACTAATTTAAGATCATGCACAATTAAAACCCAAACCAAGATATATCATCTATGTCCATTTGTGTTGTTAACATGTGGAATTAGGTGTTCCGTTTAACTTCTTAAGGTGCAGTATCAAGGGCATAAGAAATTACGTAGGAATCTGGCAGGAGTAACGAGAAATGCATGTGTTTAGGGATGTCAATCAGGCTAGCCCGCTCGGTTTTGGGCTAGCCCTGTTGGGTTGTCGGGCTTATTGGTTTGTGCTAGTCAGTTAATTATTATTTTATTTTCAGGTTCGGGTTGGCTCTAATCCTAAACCTCGGGTTGTCGGGCTTATCGAGTGAGCTGAACCATCTGAACTAAAATTGGAAACTGAGAGTTAGTACCCATATTTAGAGCCGTAAAAACGGCCCAATTCGTCGATTTGGGCCCTTTTTAGCCGGGTCGGGTTGTATATGGCCTCATTCGACTGCTAATTTTTCAACACCAAAAACACAGGCATCGAAAGATCAATTGGGCAGCTTCCAACAATTACCAGGAACTGCGTATATTATGTATGAGAAGTAAATTTAAATATTGACAGTGACACATACCATGAAGAGATAAATGAGCAGAACTGTGGAGAAAATTGATCAGACGGTGCACAAGGCTCTGGTTGATCAACTATAGTTTCCATGAGTTCATAAACATTAGTCCATCCTTCCTCTGGCTGTGGTGGGCAATATGGGAAATCACCTGTTGCACACTCAAGTAAAACCAAACCGAGGCTCCAGATGTCACTGCTATAGCCATGGCTGCTTCCAGCAATTCTCTCTGGCTGCAGCAAACAATTAAGCATCAAATCATTAGTGTTAGGATCACGTGCTTACCACTAAGCCAAAAGCTATAGCTAGTAGCCACATGGTGCTGGACTTGGCCCGAACCCGTGACCTGGCTCTGATACCACTTGTTAGGATCAAACGTTTACTATTACGTCAAAAACTAACGAAGGCGCAACTTTATTTCTTTATACTGCCACATATTTTCAAGAGTCAGGGTGTTGGACTTGGCCCTTTACCGGCCTCAGCCCAACAATCCCCTTAGCCACATGGTGTTCGACTTGGCCCTTTACCGGCATCAGCCCAACAATCCCCTTAGCCACATGGTGTTCGACTTGGCCCTTTACCGGCATCAGTCCAACAATCCCCTTAGCCACATGGTGCTGGACTTGGCCCTTACCGCGGTTACCGGCCTCCTCCCAACAATTAGAAACTTGGAGGAAAGTGCCAGGCATATCATGATTCAATGCAAAAGAAAGCATATCCAATGGAATCTTGCAAACAACATTTCATCCTACATTTTTCATTCACAAACATAATTGCAAGTACTAACAAGGTTTTACTGCATATACGGACAGCCTATTATACTCACCGACATATAATTGTAGGTTCCAACAAAGGTATTAGCCGCTCCAGATGTGCTCGCTAGTACCACACTCACGCCGAAATCGGTTATCTTAACATCACCCCTGTGATTCATTAGCAAATTCGAAGGCTTCAAGTCCCTGTGAATGATATGCTTTTCATGATGAAGATACCACAAGCCCTTGAGTACCTGGTTAATGTGGGAAAACAAATATTAATAGTAGTAGTCGATTGATTCACTGCAGTTTAAAGTTACAAACGGTTCACTTCCTACCTGCTTGCAGATAGCAGCAAGATAAGGTTCTGGAATTCTTTTGACTAATTTCAAGAAATCTGCAAGAGATCCACCATCCATGTACTCCAGGATTATGGAGATGGCACCGTTATCGAAAAAGGATTGGTAACATACAACAACATAAGGGCATTGTGATGACTGATTAATTCTCAGTTCCTGTGCAATATGCCTGCGAATAGACTCGTCTATATTCATTTGAATAACCTGAACACATGCATCAAAACGGCTTCTTACAAGATGGCAACAAGAGTAATAAATCAAGGGAAGTACTCGTAGTTACAAATAGAAGTACATAAGAGTGAAAGTTAGGTATTTATAAATTACAAATATCACATTTGCCCGTTTAGACAACACTATCTAAAGCCAATGCAAAATAAGGTAGGCAAAGAACAGGAAGGTTTTTTTTTAGTACTATTGACTCTGTTACAATGTAGTATCTGTCCATACATACTTTCTCAACCTACTGAAGTACAAAGAGTCAACCTCACCTATGACCTCCCATTTAGGAGAGTCACAATTATGCTGCTCGACCACAAGGTACCTCCCATTTAGGAGAGCCACAGTTATGCCGCTCGACCACAAGGTCTTTGGCAGAACAGGAAGGTTAAAGGTTTTGCTTGTGGAATGCATCATAGATATCATCCAAATATTATGCACAATCAAAATCAACTTTTAACCTCCCCTATTCTTTATCTTTTATGCTTCAAAGTCACTTTTTTTTCTCTTTAAAAAATAGTACATGAGTGACTTTCAAAATGATTGAGGGACCAAAATAATAGAACTCCACTTGAAGCTATGATGTATGTACCTTGAGAGCAAAAAATTGGGCTGTCCACTTGTGTTGAACCAGTCGCACAACCCCACCATTTCCCTTTCCAATAACTTTAATAGATTCAAAGTCCGCTAAGCATAACTGATTATCTGACGGCCGTATAACTGAGGACTAAAAGAAGAATCAAGACGAATGATCAGTAACTTCTAATAGTTTCAATGCAAATCAAATCAAAATAAGTCTTTTGCTATTACTAATCTAACCAAAACCACAGTACTAGTAGCAATGGCTGATTATATCACAAGCCTATGCTCACCAAACATTGTGAGCTTCAAAGCAGCTGTTCATCACAATTACAATGAAAGTTCATCATTATAATTTTTTTTAGCATTTGCAGTTGAAGTAACCATTCATCACATTTTGTATAGCCATGTGAATCCAAGGTCATAGTAAACTTAATGAATAACATCTATTATATAACAAGTAAAGAACAAAATTCAGATATTTAAATAGATATCAACAAGTAAATTATATAAAGGCCATGTTTGGTAAAAAATTTGCTTATAGGCCAATTTTGACTTTTTTTGAAAGCTACTGGTTCTAATAGGCCAATTTTGACTTATTTGACCACTATTAATTGTTTGATTTAGTTAAAATATCAATATAAGTGTTTGGTTAATTAGCTTTTTTACAACTCCAAAATGCTAAAATTTTAAAAGCTACTCCAAGCAACTTTTTCAATTAACTTTTTGAGAAAAAAAATTATATCAAACAGCTATCAGCTAACAGCTAATTTACCAAACACTTCTCTACAACAGCTAATGTTATCAACTAGTAATACCCTCTTATTAACACAATCAGCTAACAGCTATCGGCCAACAGTCATTTACCAAACAAGGCCAAAATAAATAATAGTATCATCACTCTAATGAATTCTCATATCACCAGTTCAAAAAGTCCTAGTTTAATGAATTCTCATTCACCAGGTCAACTCCAAAAAATTTATTTAAAAAAAAAAAAAAAAAAAAAAAAAAAAAAAAAAAAAAAAAAAAAAAAAGTTCACTGTACTAAAAATGAAATCATGAAAGTAAAAATTTCATAAAAAGCATACAGGTTCAACTTGTTTTTGGGAAACAATTCGAACTCCATCTTTGTTCACCAGCAGATCCCCATCCTTAAATGTTCCTGATTCAGTCCTACACAGCACAGTAATCCCATCAAAGGATCAGAAAGAAGGAATTCACCAGGAAAAAAAAAAAAAAAAAGAATATATATACATATATAGCCTCATTTGTATACATAAACACAAACACACAGAGGAATAGAGAGATAGAGAGAGAGAAGTACAGGAATTTGGAGAGGCTATCTTCATCAGGAGGAGGGAGAGAGAGCTTGAGATTTGGGGCTAAAGCTCCTTTCTTCATCGCAATTCTATCTTTCTAAAACAAAGGGTATTCAGATTTCTTTTCCTTGTTTCTAGTTAATAAACAAAACTTTGCAAATCTTGAGAGTAGCTCCTCTCTCCCTCTATAGTAGTGTCTCTATCTATGCACTCTGGGTCTTCTGGTAAATGAAGGTGGGGTAATGGGGTATATACAAATGCAATTGGAAATACAAAAACAAATACATGTATATGTAAATTATGTATTTCAGTGGAGTTGATTGCTGAGGAAAATGACCAGAGAAGAAAAGAGAACGAAGCTGTCTTCCTTGACTTTTCTCCCTCTTTTTTTTTTTTTTCTATCTTAGAGCGTCCACAATGGTTGGGGAGAATTGGGAGATAATGTAAGAGTGATTAGGAGAGAGAATGTGGGAAGGGGAGAAAAAAAAATAAAAAAAAATCAAAATCAAAAATTAAAAAACAAAAAAATAATAAAAAAGTAAAGGGTCAGGCGCGCCGAACACGGCGCGCCTGACGCGCCCGTGTGGGAGGCTGCTGTGCGCGATCCTTTTTCTTCTCTTTCCTTTTCTTCTTTTTCTGCATTCTCCCCAATTTTGCAGAACAAATATTTTGATAAATAACCCCACCCCACATTTGTTATTATCCCCACCCAAGATAATTCATCTGACATTATCTCCATAATATCCACTGATGTGGATGCTCTTACCGCCACTGTCTGCAATGCAATACTAAGCGTACGGAATAATATTTTATTTTCATTTTTAATGGATGAAAAAATACAAAACCGCCTCTAACGGAGGTGTATTCAATCATGACTTTTGTAGAGTTTTAAACACTTTCAAAATGATAAATTTTAATAAACTTTGATTGACTTTCATAGAGTCGTTCAAAACTTTTTAAAACTTTATAAGACTCAAGTCTATATAAAAAACATTCATAAACTTTTAACAACTTTTTATTTTAAAAAGTCTACAAAATTCATTAAAATTCTAAATTGAATACATCCTTACAAACTTTCAATGATTTTGATTCTTATCATTTACAATTTTCTTACAAAACATTATTTATAATATATCATAAAATTCTTCTTATTATATAGTTCTTCACCCACATCAACATTCTCAACATTATTATTTTTATCCATAGTATGCTGAGACTTATATGCTAATCACTTATATATATTATTAATAAACATCAACAAAAAAAAACTATTTAATTAGAAATTCATAACAATATTGATCAATAAAATTTATAATAAAAGACTTGATCAAATAAAATATTTAAAAATATAATTACAAGTTGCATAAAATAAAAAAATAAAAAATAGAATATTAATAATATATATATATATATATATATATATATATATATATATATATATATAATTATATAATTATACTTTATAATTGCTAGGCATCACGCAAAGAACTATTATTTGCAATAGCAATTTGAGACTGTAAACAACAACAAGGTGCTACTGTTTGCAACTCCAAATTGTGATTGCGAACAGTAATTCGTTATTCGTAGTAACCTGTTGTTAAAAAAAAGGAAAAATATTACGAATATAAACATAAAAAGAATAAAAATCAAAATATATAAGTATTTATATGAGTATTATGAAACATATACTAAAACTTGACGATGAAAATTTTGCTTTGTTCATGTATTTAGGGAGAATTAGAGAAAGTTAGGGATAAAAAATTCATAGAAAAATAAAATAAAAATCAATATAAACCAGCAATAATGAAGTACAAATGATATTATTTCGAATTTTTAGATGAAGATTATAAAGTTTAGGAGAGAGAAAATTTGGTAGAGTTTAGGTATGAGGAAAATATAGGATAATGAAGAAAAAAATAATTTTATTGAATTTAGATAGGTTTATAGAATTTAAATAGGGAGAAAAAATAGAGTTTAAATAGAGAGATGAAACATTCAAAGTTGTGAGAAAGAAAATTTGAAATCTTAGGGTTGATGATTGGATTTCAACTATTTATATTTGAGAAGGAAAAGTCTACAAAAGTCTTAAAATTAAAAAGTCTACAAAAATTCATAACTTTTTGAATACCACATGACTTTTAAAGACTCTTTAAAAGTCTTAATCAAATACCACACAACTTTTAAAGATTCTTTAAAAATCTTGATTGAATACCCCTGCCTAACTTTTAAAGGCTCTCTAAAAGTTTGAATTGAATACCTCAAAATTTTTAAAGTTCATAAAAGTCTTTAAAACTCTATGAAAGTCATAATTGAATACACCCTCTAAAACACCAAATTTCTCCACCAAATGTCACATCAGAATGAATATTCTCAGCATATTTTCACACCAAATTTTATTCATCGTCAACCCATGTACACCAAAACACCAAATTTTTACACTAAAATAATTTAATTTCTCAATTATTAGTTCGAATATAATTAGTTTAATATAAAATATAACTTATGATGTAAATAATAATTTTTATTAATATTAATTTTTTATAACATTAATTATTTTAAAAATTTGAATTTAACAATATTTTTGAAAATTGAATTTATTCCAATAATAATATAGCATACAACATCTAGGACATTTAATTATCAGAATTACTATATCGTTCATAGAAATGCTCAATCAATGCATTACGGAGTGCATAATGAGCTTCTTTATCTTTAATTTGTCTATGTCGAGGAAGAAATTCTTGAAATATAATATTTTCATCTCTAGATATATCAACTTCAGGAGTCGGTGCTTCCTTCCAACCTTGTATATCTGCTTGCTCATCACGTTCATCCTCAATGATCATATTGTGCATTATAATGCACAATGACATTATATCATGCAATATACATTTATCCCAAAAACGTGTTGATCTCTCGACTATTGTAAATCGTGATTGGAGAACTCCAAATGCACGTTCTACGTCTTTTCTACACGAATCTGGCATCATCGCAAATAACTTCTTTTTTGGCCCTCGAGGTTCATGAATTGTTTGTACCAATGTGGACCATTTTGGATATATACCATCGGCTAAATAATATCCTGTGTTGTAGTCCTGTCCTTGAATAACATAATGACAATGAGGTGCTACACCGTTTGCAAGATTTGCAAACAAATGAGATGCCTCCAAGACATTAATGTCATTATTAGACCCCGGCATGCCAAATCCACAAATCATAATCAGCTACAGCTTCAAGAATAATAGTTGGTTTTCTACTCCGCCCAGCATATTGTCCAGCCCAGCCAGTTGGACAATTTTTCCAAGTCCAGTGCATGCAATCTAAACTCTCAAGCATCCTTGGAAAATCACGTTTTTCGCCAATTTGAAGCAACCGTGCAACATCATTAGCATCAGGTGCTCTTAGATATCGCTCCCCAAAGACCTCTACAATTGCTCGACATAATCTCTTCAAACTTTCAATTGCAGTTGATTCTCTAATCTGGATATATCCATTTGCTGGTATTTCGTACGCCAAAATTCGAAACGACACTGTAACTTTTTGTAAAGTAGATAAGCCCAGTCTACCGACTCTATCCTTCCGTTGCACAAAATAGTTGTCATGGACTTTAATAGCATTGGCAATTCGTAGGAACAAATTTCGACTCATTCGAAATCGTCTACAAAACATTGCTTTAGAATATTTTGGATACTCTGAAAAATAATCATTCTATAATCTTCGATCTGCTTCTTCACGATCACGATGAATCACTCTATGACCAAAAGTCAAACCTACATGGCTTGGGGGTTGATTATCCATATTTTCCATGTAGGAAGCTATGTCAAGGTTGTGGCTAGTATATGCATTGGTTAATAATTGTGTTTGTTGTCATATTGCACTTGCGAGATTGTGCTCAGAATCCGATGATGAGGATGATGATGAAGAAAATGGCATAGGACGTTTTCCAGTGTTGGAATCCATATTTGAATTCGTATGTTTAGAGATAGATGATAATGGGATGAATGCTCAATTTGTTGGTGATGCAGAACTTTTTATAGGGATAAAAGATATCACATGCATCTTTGGTATAAAATATATCTGAATTGTTTAGAACCGTTAGATTAGATCGCGAAGATCACATCCGTTCATTGGTATGCTTGTCCATTTCCACACATATCCAATAAAAGATATCACGTGCATCTTTGAATCAACTTTTATCTGTATTGTTTAGAACCGTTAGATTAGATCGCGAAGATCACATCGTTCATTGGTATGCTTGTCCTTTTCCACACATATTCCAATAAAAGATATCACATGCATCTTTGAATCAGCTTTTATCTGAATTGTTTAGAACCGTTAGATTAGATCGCGAAGTTCACATTCGTTCATTGATATGCTTGTCATTTTCCACACATATTCCGATAAAAGATATCACATGCATCTTTGAATCAGCTTTTATCTGAATTGTTTAGAACTGTTGGATTTGATCGCGAAGAACACATCCGTTCATTGGTATGCTTGTCATTTTTCACACATATTCCAATAAAAGATATTACATGCATCTTTGAATCAGCTTTTATCTGAATTGTTTAGAACCGTTAGATTAGATCGCGTAGATCACATCCGTTCATTGGTATGCTTGTCCTTTTCCACACATATTTCAATAAAAGATATCACATGCATCTTTGAATCAGCTTTTATCTGAATTGTTTAGAACCGTTAGATTAGATCGCAAAGATCACATCTGTTCATTGGTATGCTTGTCCTTTTCCACACATATTTCAATAAAAGATATCACATGCATCTTTGAATCAGCTTTTATCTGAATTGTTTAGAACCATTAGATTAGATCGCAAAGATCACATCCGTTCATCGGTATGCTTGTATCTCTATAAATACTACAATTCGATTTTAGAAGTAATACCACATATCTTTTGAATATCAAAATCTCTTTACATTTCTTTCTAGTTTAACAGTCATTAAAATATGTCAAAATCCTCACGTTCAATCTGAACATCCTCATACTCAAATAAAGAAGATAAACTCATTTGTACTATATTTATGGATATTGCCCAAGATCCTAAAAAGGGCAATGATCGCTCTGCAACAGATTTATGGGAACACATTGCACAAGAATATAAACAAATGCTACCGGCACACATTTGTACTAATCGAACTTCAAGATCGCTGCATAGTCGTTGGGCAAATATATCAACATCAGTCAGCAAACTAAGAGGATGCATTCAACAGATAGAGAACATGAACCCAAGTGGTGCATCTGAACAAGATATTGTGAGTTTCTTGGAAATTTGAGTTTTTTTAGTTTTATCTTATTTTTTGTTTTAATTGCGTTGTTTAATTTGAATTATATTTTATTTATAACAGCTTGATAGAGCGGATCCCGAATTCAAAAGCGGATTT